AAAAAGAAAATAAAACATGTATAGGCACTGTTAGGTTGGGTGTGAGCCACTGTACCCAACCTAAAAAGTTTTAAAGTTTGTTTGTTTGTTTGTTTTCTAAGTGCTGATAGTCCTAGGAAAGGGCTTTGACCTGGCCTTTGTTGGGCTATTAACAATGGTATCATAGATCTGCTCTGAGGAGCACTGTGTACCACCACATAATGCCTCTAAAGATGCTCCCAGGGGCTGTTTGAGGGTGGATATGACTGTCCACCCTGACAACTACTTCAGAGTTGGCAAGGCGTTGGACCACCTTAGCTGCATCGAAGACATCAGAGGTATGTGTGCAGGAAGCAGCCTTCCTCCCTTTTGCTTTCTCATTGTGCTCTAAAGAACCTACTGCATCAAGAAAGCTATGCTCAGAATACAGCCATCTTCCCACCACAAGCTCCTGAGCCACTGATACTACAGGTGCACACCAACAGTCCTGGCTCTATACCTCTCCAAGACACTATACCTCTCCAAGACACTATACCTCTCCAAGGAATATCTTCATTTCTTGCAGAATAAATTGATCCTCTAATGCTATAAAGATAATGACTCTTGGGAGCCCCTGAAATTGACAGAAAGTCACAATAAATCCTATACAGATATACACACATACACAATTATATATGTACATACATTATGCTATGAAACCACAAAATGCCTTCACTCTTCAGATATACTTACCAAGAATAATGTTTCCTAGAGAAACAGAGAATTAAAGATTTTGTGAAAATAATTTTAAGTCATTTTAAAACTCTGACTCTAGTTAATTTACAAAATTAGTATTGAATTCTCTGCCCCCCGCCACCCCACAAGGCATGCTACTAAGCACTGGAGAGAGAAAAAGGAGCCAGGACTGTTGGTGTGCACCTGTAGTATCAGTGGCTCAGGAGCTTGTGGTGGGAAGATGGCTTGAGCCCAAGAGTTCAAGACTGCAGTGAGCCATGACTGTACCACTGCACTCCAGCCTGGGTGACAGTGAGTCCCTGTCTCTAAAAAAAAAAAAGAAAATAAAAAATGTATAGGCACTGTTCCTGGATTTAAGAAATTCAATCTAATTACTGAATAGCATCTAAGAAATTAGAAAAAAAAATTCAACCTAAAAGTGATAACAGGCCGGGCGTGATAGCTCATGCCTGTAATCTCAGCACTTTGGGAGGCTAGGGCGGGCAGATCACTTGAGGCCAGGAGTTTGAGACTGGCCTGGACAATATGGTGAAACCCTATCTCTACTAAAAATACAAAAATTAGCAGGGAGTGGTGGTGGGAGCCTGTAATCCCAGCTACTCAGAAGGCTGAGGCAGGAGAATTGCTTGAACCTGGGAGGCAGAGGTTGCCATAAGTCGAGATCGCACCACTGCACTCCAGCCTGGGGGACGGAGCAAGACTCCTTCTCAATAAATAAATAAATGTGATTGCAGCGGTTTTTGTACAGTAGTCCCTCCTAATCCACCCTAATGGATGCCAAACTCTCCTTTTTCCTGTACATACATACAAGTGCAATTTAAAGTTTATCTATAAATTAGGTGCACTACTCTTGCATGTTGGGTCCATTATTAAGTAAAATAAGTGTTACCTGAACACAGAACAACTGCGTTGACAGTTGGTTTGATAGCTGAGCTTGCTACTAAGTTACTCGCAGGCAGGGGGTGCCCATAGCCTGGAGGACAGAGGGAGGAGTCATGTGCTGCAGTTTGTGGGGGCGGGGCTGGCGAGAAAGAGGTTTCATCACACTATTCAGAATGACACAAAAGTTAAAACTTATGAATTTTTTATCTCTGGAATTTTCCATATAATATTTTCAAACTGTTGTTGGTCATGGGTAACTAAAGCTGCAGCTTCCCTTCACCAAGTACTCAGCACACATGCCCACCTGTGCTAGGGATGTTAAAGATTTTATCTTATTTAATGTTTGCAACAACCTGTGAGGCAGGGATTATTTCCACTTTACACATGAAAACACTGGCCATCAGAGAGAGGGAGTCACAAACTCATGCCCGTCACACAGCAAAGCCCACTCTCGATGGCATTTATGATAAGTACCTTCTGCAGGAGTGAGACATTTTTGCTTCTGCCAAGTGAGAAGGACAATGTGAAGAGAAGGGGGAGCACTTTGCTGCGTCACCCAGCAATTTCACAACAGCAAAAACTGTGGGTGACTATCATTTTAAAGACGCACTGAAACTTGTCTCTACATATACATGTAAAATATGGCAAATTGGAAAATCGTTTTGCACACACAACAACAAAATTCCTTTTTTAATTGATTTTTGTTTGTTCAATTCTTCTACCTGTATCCAACCTATACTTGCAGTTGACAAATAAGTGAATATCCAACACGAACATTGACTAATATTTTTATTTACATTAAAGAATAATATAAAGTGAAACGATGAAGATATACATCAAAACTCCACTTGTTTTTCATAAAGTGAGTGGCTTCCTTGCTGAATCAGGTAACAGTTTTTAAATACTGAAAGAACATTTCTTCAAATTTTTTGCAGTTCACATTATAATGGTTATAAACATTACATACTTTGAATTTGCTTTATTAACATTTTTTCCATCACTTTCTCTTTTTTATTGCCTTTTAGGTTTTGGGGTACATGTGAAGAACATGCAAAATAGTTGCATAGGTACACACGTGGCAGTGTGATTTGCTGCCTTCCTCCCCCTCACCTATACCCGGCATTTCTCCCTAAGCTATCCCTCACCAACTCCCCACCCCCTGCTGTCCCTCCCCTATTCCCCCCAACAGACCCCAGTGTGTAGTGCTCCCCTCCCTAGTGCTCCCCTCCCTCTGTCCATGTGTTCTCATTGTTCAACACCCACCTATGAGTGAGAACATGCGGTATTTCATTTTCTGTTCTTGTGTCAGTTTGCTGAGAATGACGTTCTCCAGGTTCATCCATGTTTCTACAAAGGATATAAGACTGGACAATTAACCAAACAATGAATCAAGCCCTGACTTGTAGCATTTGCCCATTTTCATGTTATAAATATTTCATTCCTGCTATAGTCTGCTGCAAGCCACCATCATTACATCATTAAACTCAGAACTGAGAAAAGATACATGACAGTACGTCATTATACAGAATATCTACCTTACAGATACAATAGACGTAATGACCTCAAGTGTATAAATAATAGTAACATAGTAAAGTAATTAGGAAGGTAAGCTTGGTGTTTATAATTTGTTTGTTTGTATTAGTTTGATCTTTATAAAAGTGCTGATATATAACCAACTTTAGACCACAAAAGTGATAAGTAAGTGATTGACTGAACAAAAAACAAAAAAATGGTGGAATTTTAGTGGGTGCAGCAGAGAATGATAACATAATAATGAAAGCCTCTACTATTCACAGAATGCTTTCAAAGTCTGGGCACTATGTAAAAGTAAGTTTGATTCTCTGTGATTTTCAACAATCAAAGCAGAATTTACATTGATTCCGTCTTACCTAGCTTTTCCCAAACAGTTTGGAAATACTGTGATAGAGACAGGAGAATTTCTGGCACTTTCGTTCCAATTAAGGATTTGACACAATATATATGAAACACTGTATATGCAAATAACATTCAGGATATTTGACATAATTTTTTAGCTAAATATAGTATATGAAAGAACAAGGACTCCTTTCGGAGCATGAAACTCAACACAAGTCCCAGCTTCATTAAATACTTACTATTGCCAGCTGTGCTTTTTTTTTTTTTTGAGATGGAGTCTCTGTCACCAGGCTGGAGTGCAGTGGTGCAATCTCAGCTCACTGCAACCTCTGACTCCCTGGTTCAAGCGATTCTCCTGCCTCAGCCTCCCCAGTAGCTGGGGTTCCAGGCATGTGCCACCACGCCCAGCTAGTTTTTGTATTTTTAGTAGAGATGGTGTTTCACCATGTTGGCCAGGTTGGTCTCCATCTCCTGATCCCAGGATTTGCCCTCCTCAGCCTCCCAAAGTGCTGGGATTACAAGTATGAGCCCCTGTGCCCAGCCACCAGCTGTGCATTTTGAGCTGCCTCCCAGCTTCTGAGGGCCAGTTCCTTATTTGTGATTTAAGTAATAATACTGTCCATGCAGACACGCATCACAGAGTACTCATGAGATTGAAGTGGGAAAAAGAAAATAGAGTGCCTTATAAACAGTCCAATTTTGCAAACGTAGTGGCTTCTTATTATAGAATTATAGCCTTGTGTATCTGCTTCCAGGATTGTTTTCTGGGCTATGCCCTTAGACTGGCTAGAAAGCAGCTACCAGCCTTTGGCAATTTTAGGACATTTCTGACCATTAGTCTTAAAAATGAACTGTGTAGCCGAATTCGCTTCTCATAACTCTTCAAACTGCCTAGGCACATTTGATTTATTTATATATTTCTTACTCTGTCCCCCAGGCTGGAGTGCAGTGGCACAATCTTGGCTCACTGCAACCTCTGCCTTCCAGATTCAATTGATTCTCGTGCCTCAACCTCCCAAGTAGCTGGGATTACAGGCATGCGCCACAAAGCCTGACTAATTTTTGTATTTTTAGTAGAGACAGAGTTTCACCATGTTGGTCAGGCTAGTCTCGAACTCAGGTGATCTGCCTGCCTAAGCCTCCCAAAGTGCTGGGATTACAGGTGAGCCACCATGCTGGCCTAAATTAAATTATTTTTATTAAAAGACCCTTTCTTCCTATTAATAGTCCTTAAAGAATTTTGGATTAGTGTAAATTACAGTTGAAAGCTCAACTGGGGAATGCTTACAAAACACTCAGGAGTCTGAAGCCTCCCAGTAGCAAAGCTGGGAAGGGTCTTAACTGTGGGAGGGTGAGAATTGAGCCTGGATCCTCTCCTGACTCTCACATCTCTTTATCCCAATGGTGGTTTGTTTACTTGGGTCATCTGGCTGATTCATTGTTGCTGTAAAAACAGGGCTGAGTGTGCTGTGCTGAAAGCCACTGAAACCGGAGGAAACTAGTCACACAAACCCTGACTATCACCTGATAGATCGCTTGTGCTGCCTGATAATTCCTCGCGCTTTTCCCAGGCTGGCGCCAGGTCTTCAGGGGCCGTCCAGGACTACAGAGCTGTTTTACCCTGCCTTGGCTGCAGCCTCTTCCCCCATGCTGGAAGGTGCAGAGCTGTACTTCAATGTGGACCATGGCTACCTGGAGGGCCTGGTTCGAGGATGTAAGGCCAGCCTCCTGACCCAGCAGGACTATATCAACCTAGTCCAGTGCGAGACCCTAGAAGGTAAGTGTAGCTCTTCTCACCCTTTAAAAAGAAAAGAAAGGAAATGATGTCGTTCTCCAGAAGCATGGAAAGAAAAACATAATCCTACGGTTTGAAAATTCTGAGTAGGTCCTTATTCCTGCTGTCCAGATTTCTGGTGTCCACAAACTTGAATGAGGAAAAAAAAATTACATCTCTATTTCTAATCTCTAAGTGAAATATAACATCTTTCATTACAAATGTAGACAACAAATCATGGTGGTTAAGATAAGTAGTATCTGTGACATTGCCACCAACAAAAATTCAATGTTTTCAGATCCCTTTAAAGTCTTGCAGATACCTTGCAATGTCATATACGTTTTCTCTATTTTGAAATTAGATATTACACTCATTCTTTATTGTTTATTGAGATGGAGTCTCACTCTCGTTGCTCAGGCTGAAGTGTAGTGACGTGATCTTGGCTCACGGTACCATCCACCTCCCGGGTTCAAGCTGTTCTCCTGCCTCAGCCTCCTGAGTGGCTGGGATTACAGGCGCCTGCCGCCAGGCTTGGCTAATTTTTGTATTTTTAGTAGAGACTGAGTTTTACCATGTTGGTCAGGCTGTTCTCAAACTCCTGACCTCAGGTGATCTGCCCCTGGGGGCAGATTGCTGGGATTACAGGTGTGAGCCACTGCGCCCAGCCAGATTCTTATACATTTTAAAGACATTTTGGTAACTATATTTTAAAATATTTGGTTTCCTTTGTAATCCTGTATATTTTCATTCTACATATTTATAAACATTATTTGGAGAACAGCTTCACCAAACTGCCAAGGGATCTATGACAAAGAAAAAATATATATATTTAAAATCTTGTTCTATGGAATGTGTTCTATCACATTTCTCAGTATCTGTTGATTTAAGACTTTGAAGTTTACTTTTCACTGAAGTTAAAAAAAAATCAAGAGACGTTACTGGTGGGGACAGCCCTGTATTCAAAGACCTGGATTTGACTTCTGCCATGCCTAGATAGGTGGCCTGCAGCTCCAAGCCTCTGAGCCTCAGCATTCTCAGTTATAATCAATAAGTACTCAACAAGTGAAAAGTATCTCTAAACCGCATTTTTTTCCCCAAAACCTTACCAAAGATTCCATATATGTAACAGCATTTTTATTATTAAAAACAGCTACAATCACTCATTTTGAAACATACTTATAAAACCCATATAGGTCGATAATAAGGTGCTTTAAATCTTCCAGATTGTTCTAGAAAAGGCAAGAAAGTGCTAAGAATAAAGCCTCCTAGAAAGGGTACTAAAAGGCAAAAATGAACCAAAGAACCTTCTAAAGGTGACTTTGCAGCTCCTCAGGTAGGGCTGAAGGGTCCTGAGGCCACTTGTTTATGATTCTGACCAGGTAAAGCCAGAGTTCAGACAGAACCACTCAAGTTAGGACAAGCCCTGCCTTCCATTAGCATTGGAAACAGCAAGAGCCTTTCAGATAACTAATTCTGTTGGCTACAAATAATGACAGTAAAACTCCAAATCCTAAATCATTTCAGCATATTAAAATGGGAATTTGGTGACTGGATAATTTTAATCATGTATAGAAATATGCAAAAAATAAAAAACACAGGGCTAAGTGTTGCTGAGAGAAGCCATTTTAATGAATTTTATTTAGCTTTCAGCCAAGCTCTTAAATGAGCTAAGGAATGCAAATTTAAATGCAAAGAATACATAAAATATCTTTGTGATTAAAAAAAAAAAAAAGCCTGCTCACAAAAGAATTCAGCTTATCAAGGGAAGCCATATCTAAAGCCATCTAAAGAATTCTAGGCCAGGAGAGGTGACTCACCCCTGTAAAACCCCATCTCTACTCCCCGAGCAGCTGGGAATACAGGTGCCTGCCACCACGCCCAGCTAATTTTTTCTAATTAGCTGTATTCCCAGCTGCTCGGGAGGCTAAGGCAGGAGAATTGCTTGAACCTCGGAGGTAGCGGTTGCAGTGAACGTAGATTATGCCACTGCACTCCAGCCTGGGTGACAGAGTGAAATTCTGTCTTGAAAAAAAAAAAAAATTCTAGAAAATAGGTCTGGTGTGGTGGCTCATGCCTGTAATCCCAGTATTTTGAGAGTCCAAGGTGGGAAGATTGCTTAAGACCAGGAGTTCGAGACCAGCCTGAGCAACATAGCAAGACTTTGTCTCTACTAAAAATTTTAAAAATTGGCTGGGCATGGTGTACATGCCTGTAGTCCCAGCTACTTGGGAGGCTATGGCAGGAGGATGTCTTGAGCCCAAAAGGTTGAGGCTGCAATGAGCTGTGACTGCACCACTATGCTCCAGCCTGGGCAACAGAGTGAGACCCTGTCTTAAAATAATAATAATAATAATAATTCTAGAAAGTAAAAAGATAAAAATCAGGAATTTAAAACTTCTTCCCTGTATTTTCTGCTGAGGTCCCTTTTAATCCAAAGATTTGTTGAGGGCAGGGGACAGATAGAAGGAGGAAGAAATGAGATTAACGGATTCTATCCTCTGCGCAGACTGTTAGCAGAATCCGATATCTTCATTTTCAGTCTGGGAGAGAAGAAAAGGTTTCAAACCCTCTCAGAGACCTCAGGAATAAAGCTTGTGTTTTGAAAAACACACATAAACAGGTATCTGCAGAATTTTCCACGCAGTGTCAGGCAATGATAAACCACCCGAAGCCACCCAGCCTGCGCTCTATGGCTTTATTGTCACTGAGTCTCATGATTTCTACCTCTCTCTTCCCAATCGTATTTTTTTTTCAACTATTTGTTTCTCAACTACATTTGAATCTGTGTGCCAATCTACTGTTCAGAGACTCCCAGAAATATCAAGTGCGAGTCATCAAACCATATTTGGATTATCATGACTGCTAAGAAAATAAATCTATACAAGAATTTCACGTCCTCTGTTAGCTGAGGACACTGGGGCTTAGAATGGCTGTGACCACCTAACAGGCTGTCACTGATGGAAGATGGATAGAGCTATCTATGTCTCCATTTCCACAAAAATATTCCATTGCCTCCTGAGTATAAATTGAAGATACATGAATAGTTCTGGGTTGAGTTGATGTCTACTCCATCCTGAAATAGAAAATAATGAGTGTTCCACCTGGTTGTTTCATAGGATGTTGAGAAATAAATGGTGTGTGAACAGCAGTGCAACTGTTGCATCTGTGAATGTACTTGGGGAGACTCAGTCCACCTGGACCTAGATTCACAGTCCAGAAGAAATCAAGGGCACTTGTTGGGGTAGAAGTTAAGGGCTTGAGGATTCCAGTTTCCTTTTGCACAAAATATACACCATGCAAACTATGGATGAAGAACAGGTTACACTGCGCCATTCCAATGCCATATGTTGGAGCAGGCACTTTCCAGAAAAGAAAAGCTAACTTGGTAAAGATTAAATTTGCTTTTAGTCTTTTTAAGTCATCTGGTCTTTAAAAGGAAAGTGTTCTGATATCAACAAATTGTTTTAGAACAACTTGCAAGGAACATATAAGGTTTTGGGTAATTTTAGAAGAGAGAAAATAAAGATTGTCCGGCAAAGCTTTGAAAAGTGTTAGTATTCATAATGTGCTTTTGTGCATAAGTGGGTGAGTGTGGTAAGAAATACTCATGTATTCCAAGGCCTGCCCCTGACTAACGGTGACTCGATTCAGTCTCTGGATCCACTGTGACTCAGTCTTTCCTAGGCACAGAAGAAGGAAACTAGTTCCCATTGTCACTGTCACTGGTATTGCTTTAAGGTTGTATCTGTAAAGAACTTTTAGGGTCTTTAAAAGTGACTTTGAACCTAAACAATAACTTTAAAAGAGCACAGGATATTCTTTTTAAAAGATTACACTACTGTTTGCATCAGAATTTTTTAAAATTACAAATAAGACTTTTGAAAATATTCTTCCCTTGGCTGGGCATGGTGGCTCACACCTGCAATCCCAGCACTTTGGGAGGCCAAGCCAGGCAGATCAGAGGATCAGGAGTTTGAGACCAGTCTGACCAATATGGTAAAACCCTGTCTCTACTAAAAATACAAAAATTAGCTGGGCATGGCAGCATGAGCCTATAATCCCAGCTACTCAGGAGGCTGAGGCAGGAGAATCTCGTGAACCCAGGAGGTGGAGGTCGCAGTGAGATGAGATCATGCCATTGCACTCCAGCCTGGGCAACAGAGCAAGACTCCATCTCAAAAAAAAAAAAAGAAAAAGTATTTTTCCCACCTCAAAAAAGACAGAATAGTAAATTAATACTTAAAATTTAGTAGTAAGTGGCCTTTTCTAGAACATATGATAACAGTGTCCACTGGCTCTCAAGATGTGGGAGAGATGTGGGATATGTTTCTGGATTAAGTCTTTTTTTTTTTTTGAGATGGAGTTTAGCTTTTGTCACCCTGGCTGATGTGCAATGACATGATTTTGGATCATTGCAACCTCTGTCTCCCAGGTCCAAGAGATTCTCCTGCTTCAGACTCCCAAGTAGTTCAGATTACAGGCATGTGACACCATACCCGGCTAATTTTGTTTTTTGTTTTTTGTTTGTTTTTTTCTTTTTAGTACAGACAGGGTTTCTTCACATTGGCCAGGCTGGTCTCAAACTCCTGACCTCAGGTGATCCATCCACCTTGGCCCCCCAAAGTACTGGGATTACAGGCATGAGCCGCCAGCCTGGATTAAGTATTTGCTTTGTCTTTGCCACAATTTGTTTGGAAGGGAATGGGGGAAGCTGATTATATCTCACCAACAATGGTGCCCCTTTCAAGGGGCTTGAGCTTCAGAGCTTCTCCAACTGTGTCTTCAGGTAGAAATTAATTCAACACCATCTAGTAAGTACTTTCTAGCTAGGGCCAAGAAAGTAAAGATGAACAAGATAGAGTCCCTGCCCTAAAAATAATTCTACTCTGAAGAATAGAAATATTAGAAATATGAGAATCCCTTAAGGATGGGAATTGGGCAGGACCTACCAAAATTCCAAATACTTATATACTTTGTCCAGAAATTCCTAGTCCCATAGACAA